GGATCAAATGTGGTATGTTTCAATTACTATATATAACGGTATAGTCTAGATTACTGTTCTTCTGTTTTAATGTTTGTGGAAGATATGGCATGGAATGGATAAATACATGCAGAGAAGTGAAGTGGTGGTGTAATTAGGAATGAAAGGGCTTACCATCGAAGGAAATTCCCTGACTTGTGGGATACCAAGGAAACCAATTTCTGGAGGAGCCAAGGATGGATCCCACCATGATAGTGGTAAGATAAAATCAATAAAATAGAGCTAGTTCTTCTGGATTTGCTTTTTGTATGAACTACCTTGAAAAGCTGACATCAGTTTGGTGAGTTTGAAATCTTACTAATCCAGTGTTTTCTTGAGATAAGGAGGGCTAAAGTGAGAAGACAATGCTTTTATGTTATAGCACCAATGCTAGAATATATTCCATGTTTTCCCCCAAATAAGACCGGGTTTTATATTAATTTTTGCTCCAAAAGATGCATTATGGCTTATTTTCCGGTTAGGTCTTAGTCTGGGGAAAATACAGTACTAAACGCTTCCGTCTGGTTGATGAACTTAACGGGGGCTTATTTTTGGGGTAGGGCTTATATTACAAGCATCCTGAAAAATCATGCTAGGGCTTATATTCCGGTTGGGTCTTATTTTGGGGGAAACAGAATATATATTAGAGTACAGCCTATCTTGTTGGCCTTCCATAAGGCAGTTAAAATAAAATTATTCCTGAACAATTTTTGTAACAGTCATCTTACCGTTACATTATTTAATCTGAGTTGTGTTTTGTTGTTGAACTGGTTGTTCATTCATTCATTCATTCATTTATTCATTCATTCATTCAGTTTCTATAGCTACCCATCTCAACTAATGACTCTGGCCATTTATTATGAATTGGTGGCATATAAATGAAATTGATGGCATATAAATTTCAGAATAAATGTGTCAGAGTATGAATTGTTGCAATGTAACTTGTGAATGCATATGAAAGTAGGAGTCTGAAGCCTCTTGATAATTTTGTTATTCTCCAGTGAATGGTGATAAAGAACAAATCAGGGATGAGTTTGGAGAAAATTGTACAATATTGTGAATGAATGAGGGAACATGTCCCATTACATGACATGAAAGGATATATGGGGATGATGTAGAAGAGCTAGAAAAGAAAAATTGGTTGTTTAGAATCACATTGTTTTGTGGTTTGTTCAGAATACATGATTTGAGTATGAATCTTGTGTGCTCACATCAAGGAAGAATGATACAAAAATAATACAATTAAGAGAATTAGTATAGGATACAAGTGTAATGAGAGGTTTTGAATGTTAGATAGACTATTATTTGGGGGAAGAAAAAGTGAATCATTGGGATAAAAAAGTAGGCAGGAAATAAAAGTGAAAAAGTAGATGAATTTATAATGAAAGTATAAATGTAATAGTCTACCAGAATGAATAAAAAAGTCAAACATTGTGAATATGTTGAAAAATTGTAGGTCTACAGATGATATACCAGAGAAATGTTATGAGAGTAAAATAGAGTACAAAAGGTATAACTGCCTGACTTTATTATTTGGGTGAATTGTGCATCTGTGTCTTGACAATTGGAAGAATGCTGTTATTGTTCTCCTATCCAAAAGGAAAGGTAGCAAGCAGGGCTGTTTTAACGCATGATGGGCACTTGCCCGTGGGCCAGTGGTCCGGCTCACACGAGCCGGTAGCGCCAGCAGCACGTGGTTTACCAAACCGGTAGTGGCAGCAGTGCGAGGCTCCGCCCACCCATCCGGACATCATTACTTCCTGATTGTAACCCATTTTTGACCCTCTGGGCATGTGCAGAAGGCTTTGCGCATGCCCAGAGGGTCAAAAATCGGACATGACGATGGTATGTGCACTTCCGAACTGGTAGGGAAGGTAAGTAGATTTCACCTCTTTCGTGGGCCCCACGAGCGTACTAATCTGTGTATGTTAACCCTTTCCTGCACCTTGTATCATACAAATACAGCAACTGTATGGCTTACTGAGTATTATTGTGTTTTTCACGCCTCGTGTATTGTTCAAATGTTTATCATGTTGATTAGTTGTTGCTGCACAGCATGTTTTTAATGTTTCAACACCAATTTTGTTGGAAGGGCCAATAAAATAAATACATGTTTAATTTTATTGACCATTTACATTTTTATTCCTGTGAGTAGTTGTTGCAGGGGCCCCAGTACACTGCTTTGCCCATAATGCTGTTAAGACGGACCTGGTAGCAAGTGTGAATGCAAATGTTACAAGAGACTCACTTTGCTAAGTATACCTGGGAAACTGCCAAAATTCTGACCGAAGCTGTTGAAAGATTTTCCAGCTCTGATTCGATTATGTCTTTTAAAGTATTCTCTGGAGTCTGTCAATCTCCCTCTTGTGCTATTGGAGATTTCAAAAGAAGTTAGTGCAACATTTTCTCCCAATCAACACAACAGTATGCCCATCATTCAATGGCTAAAAGACATCCATTTCACACTTTCAGCAACCAGGAAGAAAATCCACAAAAATCAAATTAACCCTTCGAGCAACGTTTGGCTCTGTAAAAGATGCTGTGTCATGAATTGTATTGTTGCTTGGACAGAAAGTATTCCTTCAATCTATGGCAGGAGTCTGCAACCTTAAACACTCAAAGAGCCATTTGGACCTGTTTCCCACAGAAAAGAAAACACCGGGAACCACAAAACCTGGCTGGGCGTGGCCAACTCGATGTCACTCACTTCGACCAGTCACATGACCCCCTAGCCACACCTACCCAGTAGGTCTTTAGGACAGAGAACCAGTTGTTAAAAAACACCGGGAGCCACAAAACCCTTTTGACATCTCTCTCTCTCTCCCTCCCTCTCTCCCCCACTCTCCCTCCCCCTCTCTCTGTATCTCACTATGTCTCTCTCTCACCCCCTTTTTCTGTATCTCTCTGTCTCTGCCCTGGCCGCTTCTCCATCCCCCGCAGTTGCCCTTACTTTCTCAGGCCAGGCAAGGAGTGACTGGGAAGGGAGGGCAAGGGGCAGGGCCAGCCAGTGGTGGGATCACCTGACAGGGAGCCACAGCAGAGGGCCCAAAGAGCTGCATGTGGCTCCAGAACCACAAGTTGCTGACACCCAATCTATGGTATTTTAATAGGTTTGCCTGCCAGGTTCAGCTCTCCAAACACTGACAAAATAGGAAGACATATGTAGCCTCTTCAGAGTAGCAAATTACGAGTTCACAACATTGACTGTTACTACATTACGGCCCTGTTCATTCATACAGCATACTTAACCAGGTCTTGGGGCTGAGGGGTAAAGCAGGATTTCAAAACTCAAGTTATCTGAGGCAGTCATCTAACCTTGAGAGATTAATGTTAGCTTCAAGAACATCTAGGCTTGTTTGAGCTAAATTAACTCCCCCATGTTCTCTCCAATTACTTATCTGAAGAGTAACTGATCCTTATAATAACCACGAGTGAGATGAAATTCTGTCAAGGTCCTGCAAAGATCCTTCAGTTTCCTAGGCTCTCTGTCTCAGTGGACATTTGGATTTACACACAAAAAAAATCTCTGCAGCCCTTCAGGGAGAAAAAAATAGGTATAAATGGGTGTTGAAAGGTTGGTACAATTATCATTCCTCTATTGTTATAATAGTCTGAAAGATTCCCCTCCCTATTTATAGTAAACAGACTCAAGACAAGGCAATCTTGAGGTTCTTTCTCACTTTCTCACCTCTTTCTGGGCTAATCCATATGAAGAACGGCTGCAGATTTTGGATCTAGTTCAGGGGTCTCCAACCTTGGCAACTTTAAGATTTGTGGACTTCCAACTCCCAGAATTCCTCAGCCAGTTGCCAAAGTTGGAGACCCCTGAGCTAGCTAGTCTAAAGAAAAGAAGAATTAAGGGTAACATGATAGTATTTGAGTATTTGAGGGGCTGCCCCAAAGAAGAGGGGGTCAAATTATTCTCCAAAGCACTCCAAAGATGGCAGGACAAGAAATAATGGTTGGAAACTGATCAAAGAGAGAGGCAACCTGAAATTAAGGAGAAACTTCCTAACTCTGAGAACAATTAACCAGTGGAACAGCTTGCCTTCAGAAATCATGGTTGCTCCATCACTGGAGGTTTTTAAGAAGAAACTGGACAGTCATTTGTCTGAGATTGTATAGGTTCTCCTGCTTGAGCAGGAGGTTGGACTAGAAGACCTCTAAGGTCCCTTCCAGCTCTATTCTATTCTAATTCTTATTCTAATCCAATGTTTTCATAATAGCTTCTCTGGCATTTTTCCCCCTGAAGTTTACATTCATACTTCTCTATGACCCCCTCCCCCTAAAGGATGCCTGGAAAGAAGCCATTCTCTCTAGCGAGGAAAATAGAAAAACCCCACCAAGATACATCTAGCACTGATTAATATGATGTCATTTATTGTGTTAGTGAATAGATGCAATCTGATCTTTTCACATAAAAGAAGGGAGGGCCCAACTCTCTGCATAGAAAATGTGGGAAAAACAGGCAACAACATTGCTGCCTTAAAATTGCCTATATGTCACAACTGATGCTGGAACGGTTGTGTTTTTAACATTTACTCTGTTTCCTAAAAACAATTTCTACATGGGTAACAGGGCAGTTAAAAAAATCTGTTTCTAACATTCCTTCTGAGCCTAATCGCTATCCCTGGCTTTTAATTAACATAGCTCTTTTTCCAGTCTGTGGGCCCCAGATATGATTGTGCTAAGGATGATGGGACTGAAACAGTCGACCACCCAGAACAAATCGAGTTGGGGAAAAAGTGTTTTCATAGAAAGCAGCATAAACAACTACTGAATAATTATAGCTTCTCAAAAGCTGGTCTTCGAAGAAGGGTCTTCATACCCTTGGTATGAATTTAGGGATCTTATTTTCACCCTATTTTATTGAATAAATCACAATTGTCTGAATATATAGCTATGTAAAAAAAATTATCTACTGCAAATCGCAGGACAAAGCACCCAGCTTTTTACGTGCTGTTTTATGTATTTCCTCCTAGGTGGCCTGCAGCTATGCCAGTTGCTAACACGATGACGGGGAGCAGTGTCCCCAATGTGGAGAACAAGCCTGAAGACATTATTTGCAAAACAATTGAGAGGTAAATATTCTTAATATTCTGTTTGTGCTGATTTCCAAGTGAGGGAAGGGTTTAATGCCCAGTCACTTACAACTGCTTGAAGTTACGACAGACTCCCTGATAGTTACTTACAACCTTTCTTCGAAGTTATGACTGATACAACACACACACACACACACACCCTGCAGTCACGTAGTCATATTTTGGGTGCTTGACAATTGGCTCACATTTCCAGTCATTTATGTTACCTCATGGTCACACGATAGCATTTATGATGTTTTTTTGCTGGCAAAAAATGACCATTTGAGAACATGGATTCCCCTTAACTATCATGGTTTGCTTAACGGCTGCAGGGATTCAAGTTACAACCATTGTAAAAATAGTCATAAAACTGAGTCAGGGCACATGAGTCACTTAATGACTACCATGACTTACAACCAAAGATTCTAGCTCAATTGTGGTTCTAAGTCAAGGGCTACTATACTTACTTCCTCCCTCCACTTTTTTTGTTCAAAGATACTTTGAACATATTTTCAACTTTGTCAGAAACAGGCACAGATAATTGAATAGGTTCCTGCACTTTACAAGTGCATTCTTGACCTCACTTTCACTAAGGCGCTAGTGGGGGATTTATTTTATTGTTTTGCATGGGGATAGGGGATATCTGATCTCCATATTTATTTCTGCTTTACTGTCATTAATCATGGCTTTAGAAGCTTATCCAGGACATATAATAGGGGAGAAGAGGGGAAATTTAAAAGAGAGTCAAATTTATTCATTTTTTTTTTTAACCAAGCGCCTGATCTAGATTTTGGAAGCTTTTCTAGAAATACAAGCCCTCGTATTTCAGTACTAGACAAACACATGTCTGTCTCGGGCCTTTTGTTATATTAATATGTTTTAACTACATGTGCTAAATTGATCTTTTTCTGTTACTCTGAAGCAGCTTTTATTGTTCATATTTAGGTGTGAAACAAACCCCTTATATATTCTAAGCTGTGAAAATAGTCATTTTGCATATAATTTTGTATGCTATAAATAGGACATAAATCTTAAAAATGTAATAATAGGTAAAATAAATTGCCATTTTAAAATCTCTCTTGTTTAATATTCCCTCCTTTCAATATATTAACTTGAGGATAAGATTTTAAGAGACTCTCAGCACTGTATTCATCTCTGGAGCTACATATCATTAGTTTAGCCTCAGATAATAAACTGTTAAGCAGAAAGGTTTTCAGTCTAGCTTAAACATACATTTGAAGTCCCTGTGCTCTAGTTATTATGTGTAAAGGCATGAGTAGTGTCCATACAAATATTTTTTTAAAAGAGATAACCCATTTAGGATAGTAGTGGGTTTCAAAAATTTTGGTACCGTTTTGGTGGGTGTGGCTAGGTGGGGAGCATGTGACTGAGTGGGCATGGCCAACTTGACATCACTCACACACACACCCATTCAGTCACATGACACACACACACACACACCTAGCATGCCCACAGGAAAAGATAGGAAAGTTTTTGGAATTTCCACCTATCTACCCCCGCCCTGCCTTCACCAGTCACCCCTGTTTCCCCTCCTTTAGCAGCCCTGGCCCTAGCCCCACTTCCTCCACATCCATTGCCTCTTTGTTCGGGCTGCTTACCTTCCGTGGCGGCTGGTCCAGAGTCTGAAAGGCAAGCTGACTGGAGTTTTCAGCAGCCCTAGCCAGCCACCACAAAGCGGCTGGCAAAAAAGCCTCCCACAGGCCGCCGAAAAGTACTGGAGTCGTGGAAAAAGCTGCTGCTGTGCCGTCGCCGCCATGTTCTTCGCGCATGAGCATCCCATTTGACTTGCAAGGCAATAGGATGCGCATGCTCAAAAGAACATGGTGGCAATGAACATGGTGTGCAACCGGGGGACCAGTTCAGGGACATGGCCAGCTGGCCATTGCTACCAATTCGGCGACCTTGGCCAAATTTCCGCCAGCGGTTCACATGAACCGGTGCAAATTGACTGAATACCACCTCTGATCTAGTGCCTCAAAACTAAGATGTTACCTAGGATGGCTTTTCAGAAAGAGAGTTTTTTGAGTAGTTTCCAGATGCACTCAGGTTAATTAGCTAATATAGGAAAGGGGGGGAAATACCAAATAGTTTTATGTTGACAAATGAGAAATGTATTTATATTGGTGTGAGCTTTGGTGTGTTCAAACAAATGGATTTATGCAAGAATATTGCTTTAAGGTGTTACTGAACACTTTGGTAAATAAATGAAGTGTGCTTGATGTTCATGTTTTACTGAAAAGATAGAAAAGCACTCCTCTTTGCAGATAAATTTAGATTAGTGGGAAGACACTAAAAAAAATTGCAGGAAAAACTAATAATTTTACACTCCTGTATCTTTTAAGTTAAAGTGTTATACATTTAATATTGAACTATTAAATCCAGCTCATGACATTGTACTGAATGATGAATGCCAACCTGTACAATTCTTCTGACCCTTGCCCTTTTTGCCTAGGATCAGGTTTGCAAGTCTAAATAATCCAGCTGCAGAAACAACATTTTGGGGTGGGCTTTCAAAGCATAATTGGTCGAAGAGTGTTGCCTTCCCAGACAAGCTACTGCCGAAAGCAGAACTAGATTCCGTGGCAGAGAGCTCACTGAAAACCATAGAGAAATTGATGCTGGATCCAAGACTGGACTGTTTTCAGCAGAATATGCTAAGCCCCAAGATGATCATCGGAGATCCCTCAGTAGATCTCAACGTGCGGGAAAGCAGCAGGATTCTAAGGAAGCAAATGGGTGGCTTTCAGAATCTTCGGTCCGTTGGGAAAGTCAGCTTGAAAAACAAGCCTTTAAGTATCAAGGACAAGATTTCAGAATGGGAAGGAAAAAAGGAAATTCCAGCTCCGGTGTCCCTGTGGAAGGAGGAGGACCAAAGTATTAAAGAGGAACCCAGTCCGGTTTTGGGTGTAATGGAGAAGATGGCTAGGAATAGTGTTGCAATGAGAGATGTGGATAATAAGAGGCTCCCAAATTACAAGGGGCCAAGCAAGGAGGATGAGAGGCAAGTTGGAACTTTTAAAAACGCTGGGCAGCATGTTGTAAAGAAAGCTGATGTGAAATCAAGGGAGGAAGAATGTAATTTCAATGTGGGTAAATGTACTGAGTTGAAGGACAGTAAGAAGGAAATCCAGAAGGAGAACCTGTCTGTCTTGAGTCAAGTCAAGAAGCTGGAGCAGGCCTTGAAGTGTGGGTCAGCTGAAGCCCAACCCCAGCTACCAGGTACTTACTATTCTCCACATTGTCTGCAAGAGAAGACAGGTGAGGATCAGGAGCCCTCTGAAGGCCAGGAAAGTACCAACCGCCTAGAAGTAAGTAAGTGGCTCCTTGGCTTGGATACTGAAGCCAGAGAGCCAATCTTTGGGACTTTGGAAGAGGTGAAAGCATCGTGTGTGAAATGCAGATCTCGCAATGAAGAAAATGTGTACATGGAGCCTGGCTTGCCAGAGAAGAAACCTTTTATCAATCCGCTTCCTAAGCCTCGACGGACTTTCAAACATGAAGGTGAAGAGGGGTGGATTCTGCCTGCTCGGAATAAGAGACTCCTACCCCCTCTCCCTTCTATTCCACCCCCTCCTCTGCCTTCCTCACCTCCCCCCTCAGCCATTAGTAGAAGGCTGAGGAACGGAAAGCTTAAGGCTAACGCAGATCACAGGTATTACTGTATATTGATTTTATCTGTTTCTCTTGATTCTTTTTAATGAACAATATAATCTTGTATGTATTCTGCTACATGAAATGGGGATATACTTCTATTAAATTTATTTATACCATGCTAGTGGGACTAAGAGAATGAATCAAAAACTTCATGAACAGATAGATTTTGAGGAGGGATTTGGAAGGAACGAGAGGTGGATTCATGCAGATATTCTGGGAATCGATCCAAGGCTAAAGAACAGGGGAGAAGTGGGGGAGGGGGAGTCTCAGAAACAGCCAGAAATTTTCAGATAGCCAGAGACAAAGTGAAAGCCCTGTGTAAGAATCTGTTGACATATTGGAGAAAGGCAACCCATAGCTTGGGAGATTTAAGATCTGAAGCAAAACTTTTTGAGGGTTGCTTACTGTGACATAAAGCTATAAAAATACATGTTTTTTTCCTCCAATAATACTTTGAGTGATTTGCTTTATTGTATTCTTTTGCGATATCCACCTTTTTTTCCCCACCACCTCTTCTGCTCTTTTTAAATGAATGCCCTAGGAAGTCCTATGAATTTGAAGATTTGTTGCAGTCCTCTTCTGAGAATGGCCGAGTGGATTGGTATGCTCAAAGCAAGATGGCCCTAACCCGCACTTTATCAGAGGAAAATGTCTATGAAGATATTCTAGGTAGGCATTCTGGAGATGAAAAGCAACTATGGTGACCTCACTGCTTGTACGTTAACTCTGTGGATGAGTGAATATTTAGTGCAAGTGTATGCAGCATTTTTCAAACCAAAGGTTTTAGTATGGAGTAGTATGGACTAGTTTTCTAGAAGATAAGAGGGGTAGAAATTACAATACTGCTGTGTAAGAGTAAGAATAGGCAACCAACAGTTTTCCTGGTATTGTTGAACTCTTAATTTCTGCAAACCTGAATGTTGCCATGCTATTTGGGGCTGATCAGAATTCGACATCTGGAAAGCTGGGAGTTGCTAGCTTGCATGTTTAAAATAACATCTCCTTGGTGTATTAGGGCATGTAAATACATAATTTTTGAGGTTACAACCGATTTTTATGGCATGCAATATTGTCTTATTTGTAGGAATAATATAAAGTGCATGACAGAACTGTAACCCTGGCAAGTCAACAGAAAACAGTAGATGAAACCAACATAAGCTAATATGAGAAAAGGACAAAGTACATTATTTCAGTGGTGTGTGTATTTGTCAAAGCAAGGCAGACATTAGCATGTATATGTATGCTGCTTCCTTGAGTAAAACCTGATCCAAATGTGATCCATCACTTTGCTCGTATGTAGTAATTAACGAGTTCTAAACAAGTTGTTAATACTCACCTTAAACTAAAGTAATAGACACAATCCAACATAGAACAAAATGTGAAAATCAATAGGCAAAAAAGCACATTTTACTGATTGACTCATAATACTAAATAAAGATTTTTTTAAAAAATTACTCTTTGATGAATAAGTATTGCTGAACGCATTGTAAGCCGCCCTGAGTCTCTGGAGAAGGACGGCATATAAATCAAATTTAAAAAAAATAAAAATAAAAAAAAAGTTGGAATAGGCTGAAGCAATAAACCGTATGCTAAGCCCAAAATAAAGAAATTGCATTATAGATTTAATATGATATGTGAATCCAACTTCTATGTTGAATTGTGCCTGTGAGAAGTTGAACATTTCCAGCTTTAGAACACATCTTTAGCACATTCTCCTGCTTTCAGCACATTTCAGCACTTTATTTTCTTTTCTTCCAAACTATCCTTCAATTTTCCTTTCCTTTTCCCCTCATGCCATCCAGTCATGATGTTGGCATTGGCTACTGATGTTCAGGTATGACAATCACTCTTTTTTTAAAAAAAAAAATGATTGAAGAATAATTGTTGGATCCTGGTTTAAAAGCTTATTTTGGACCAGTCATTCTCTTTCAGAGGTTTTTTAGGAGGGATGGATAAAATTGCTTTCTCATAGTGTAGCATTAAAGCCAACTTTTTGCAAAGTTGAATGCATATTCATTCATTAGATGCAGCTGTTTACAAATTCAGAATAAGAAACTACTGTAATGAATGTGGTATAAAAGTTTGAATAGCTTTCTAGTTGAATTATTGTTACTTTTTTAATGTATAATTATCAGTAAGATCCACAGAGATATGACTCCTTAAAGGTGCAGGTGGAAACAATTCCACAAGTGAACAAATACCCTGATTATTCTAACACTCAGGTTGTGACCTTCAATCACCTTAGGCTTCCCTAAGTAGCCATCTGAATATCTATCTGAAAATGAAGAGAATTCACTTTTACAAAGCATGATAAGGTATTTAAAATCTGTATATGCTTCCAGCTAGCGAATTTACTTGGGAGGAAATACTATCAAGGAATGGAACATATATGGAAGTCAAGGCACATCATGGAAGACCGCAAAAGAGTAAAATATCAGGAAATGGTCACAGCTGCAAAACAGAATCCACAGATCAGTGCAAATAACTTGCTGAAAAGATTAGGTGATACTGGAGTAGCTCCTCAGGTGCACAATGCAGTGTTGCTTACATAATGAGTACCTGCACAAAAACATTCTCAGAAGGAAACCTTTGTCTCCGAGTTCAGGTTTGTCTAAAAATGTAAAGAAAACCTTGATAAGTCTGAAATGTTTGGGAACAAAGTACTTGGAGACCAGTGCCACAAAAACCACACAATCGTTTAGACAAAACGATTATGGAAAAGAATACTTTGCCAGCTGTTAAGCATAGAGGTGGTCTGATTATGTTTTGGGATTGGGTGATAACAGTGGCACAGGAAATACTGTGTTGACAGAAGGAAGAAAGAATTCAATTAATTGCTAACATATCCTTCACATTTGTATTATGTGGAGATAGTTTTGATTTAGGGATATATTGGTGTAGGGTTTCTTGCCTAAGCAGGGGGTTGGACTAGAAGACCTCCAAGATCCCTTCCAACTCTGTTGTTCTGTTCTGTTCTGTTCTGTTCTGTTCTGTTCTGTTCTGTTCTGTTTTGTTCTGAAACATAATTAACCAGGGGTGCCTGACTTTTTCATCCAATTGTATGTACACTGCTTTTAGCTCCTGGAAGAAGAACAAGTTTCAGTCTAATAAATATATTAGTCAGTCCTTCCCATCCTGATGCACCCTAAATAGATTGATTTGCGGATCATCTACTCATAGAACTGAATTTATAGTTCCATGTACAGGTAGTCCTTGACTTACAATGGTTTGTTTAGTGACCATTCAAAGTTACAACAGCACTGAAAAAAGTGACTTATGAACATTTTTTCACATGATTGTTGATGTGTGATCATCTCCATCCCTGTGATCAAAATTCAGACACTTGGCAACTAACTCATAGTTATGACGATTGTAGTACCCTGGGGTCATGTGGTTACCTTTTGCCACCTTTTGACAAGCTAAGTCAATGGGAAAGCCAAATTCACTCAACAACGGTGTCACTAACTTAACCACTGCAGTGGTTCACTTAACAACTGCGGAAAACAAAGTAGTAAAATGGGGCAAAATTCACTTAACAAATGTTTCACTTAGCAACAAAAGTTTTGGGCTCAATTGTAGTTGTAAGCGAGGACTCTTGCATATGCTGGTGGTCGTTTATGAATGATACGGAATCTCATTCTGCCCACAAATGTCGTTTCCAAATTTCTAGGAAAAAGTTGCATTTTGTTTTATGTGCATTTATTGCCTTGGTTTTCAATTCCAGATTTACCAGCAAAAGAAAACCCCTATGAAGATATTGAGACAAATAGTCATTGCCTAGGGAAGAAATGTGGCCTGAACTTTCCAGCATCTCCTTCTTCTATTCCTGGCACACCCACAAAGGTAACCTGGTCTAATCTGAACAGCCACTGCCCCCAAGCTATACATTTTGACTGTTATTATGGAGATTCAGTGGTCAGAAAATTGATACCTTCAGGGAAGAAAATGACTAATCCTTTGTTCAGCTTGGTTTCCCATCTTGGATTAACTCCCTAAGGGAGTTTATCTCTCTCCCCTCCCCCAACTGAATTTGGTGACTTTAAAGGAGTAGAACTAAGCTTTCTGAATCATAATGGTTTTCTGGATTTAGAAATAGGGCACTCTAGATTTGTTCTTACTGTAGATATTTATTGATAGGTAAGGTAAAGGTTCCCCTCGCACATATGTGCTAGTCGTTCCCAACTCTAGGGGATGGTGCTCATCTCCGTTTCAAAGCCGAAGAGGCGGCGCTGTACGACAACGTCTCCGTGGTCATGTGGCCGGCATGACTAAACGTCAAAGGCACACGGAATGCTATTACCTTCCCACCAAAGATGGTCCCTATTTTTCTACTTGCATTTTTTACATGCTTTCAAACTGCTAGGTTGGCAGAAGCTGGAACAAGTAACGGGAGCTCACCCCATTATGCGGCACTAGGGATTCGAACCGCTGAACTGCCGACCTTTCGATCGACAAACTCAGAGTCTTAGTCACATTTATTGATAGTGCTTGCCAATTCATAGCCATAAAGAAATTCTTTAAGACCATATACCACATTCCTAGGGTTGGCTGGAAAGTGGAAGTTTGAAAAAAACAGGAGACTTTGTTACCTGTGAAATCATTCTTTCGGACTATGAGCTGCTGAGGGATCTTGTTGAATATTTGTGGGCAAAGTCAGGGGCCACAACTCTGCCTTGCAGCTTTCTGGAGGACTGTAGGTAGCCTTCTGTTGACCTCATAAGAAGAGGTGGAATTCATTTCTCAATCCTTTTTATGGAGATTAAGAATGGGAATAGGGAGACAGCTGGGCAACCAACTCATTCTCAACTTTAATACCGCTTGCCCTCCAAATAGTCTAAAATTCAGGTTGCGAAACAGTACTTCAAAATATGATGGTTGAGCAGCTGGATTATAGTAGTGAGATTTTAGGTTATTTATGAGAAGGATTGACAGCAATCTTCTATTTCCAGTTCAAACTCAAAGCCACTGTTGTAAATCCCGATTTTTTTCCTTCACTTCCATTCTTTGAAGAGTTTTGGGGATTTTCAGTACTTGGTGGTAGGAAAAATACTGTCCTATTCACTACCACCACTATCCATATTCAGGCATAGCGGAGGAGAGGTTAGATCAGAAGTTGAAATTCCCTATATAAAAATAAGATGAATGGCCATCAATAGAGCAAAAGACAGAGAATACTGATTAATATATAAAGTACAAGAGGCTCCATTAATGAAGAATTGTATGTTTAAACAGAAATGCTCTTGCAAATATTTATGCATATATATGTATTTGATAACCTATTTGGGATTTTTATTTAAATCCGCCCTATCTCCATAGGACTCATGTATGCAAAGGTTAAGTTGCTGTAGTATAGAGACAGAAAACTCTGTGTTACTACTGTCTACTAATCCCTAACTGTTTTCCAGATAATATAGGAATGAATCAGGAAAAATATTAGTCTTTTTGGATGTACAGAGGAGTTTTGGGCAGGGAGGGATCGGTGGAGGGAGTTCATTTTGGCAACTGCAGACTGTACTTTTGATATTCAGTCTGGAGATAAGATTCAGTGTAGCTGGCAGCTGATATTATCTTCCAAGTGATGGGGGATTATTTTTTGTTTTGTTTCCTATTTTAATACATCCTGTTTTCCTTTTAATGCCTTTAACAGAATGAGAACCTGGTCTGAGGGGCGTTTGGTGCTCTCTGAGCTTGGTTGTTTTCTTGCAGATGTTTCTAGGTAACATCATCAGCACTGATTATTTCAACCCTGAGCTAGAAATACTGTCCTTAGAATGTGGTCTGTTGGAGAGAGTGATGATGGTGATGAAAATACTGAAGGCATTAGCTGAGTTACCTTTATTCGGGCAGCTCCATATCAAATTCTAGCAGTTTAGGTCTAAGGCTGGGCTAGACTCAATCCATTAGAAGAGTTAAGCACACAAGCACAAGAGATATGCAAATGAAGAATCTGCTGTGCAAATGAGTTTCAGTCAAAATAGAGCAGAAAGGGACCTTGGAGGTCTTCTAGTCCAGCCCCTTTCAGACTGTCCAGTCTCTTCTTAAAAACCTTCAGTGATGAAGCACCCACAACTTCTGAAGGCAAGCTATTCCACTGGTTAATTGTCCTCACTGTTGGGAAGTTTCTCCTTAATTCCAGGTTGTTTTCTCCTTGATTAGTTTCCATCCATTGTTTCTTCTCCTGCCCTCTGGTTTATTTGGTTTAAATAGAAGTTTACCTTTAAGCGCTAAATTGTACTAGAAACGGTAGTGACTACAAAAGTCATAGGCACCTAGTGTTTTGGAACTGAAATTTTGTTTGAAGCTGGAGTGAGGAGAAAGATTGAGAACTTGGCCAACATTTCTGGTCTGAATAAACTGGAAGAAATTTTGCAGTTCTGCGAAATTAGTAACTTCGCAGTTATTAATCCTTGAGTTCATTTGTATGTATTTTGTAGATGGGTGTCTGAAAAAGGGAAAAATAGAGATACTTCCATCAAATCATAACTCTGAAGTATTTTAAAAAAGCATCTAGAACTACAACTGGGTCATTACAAGGAGTTTTTTTTTATTATTATTATCTCACAAAGATGGTGTTGGAAGAAATTTCCTTCTGGGTTGCGTTCCAAATGGGGGAAAAGACACTGGAAACATAGAGACTGTTTGGAAAGATGGTTTTAATGGTGGACAGGATCACATGCCTTGAAGATGCTGGGTGAAGAAAAAAAAAAGGGCCGAGATGCTGAGAGTGCCCTGGTTATATGCCCTCTCTGGGCCCCACCCTAGACCATCTTGTTCCTGTGTAAGAAATGCACTCTGATTGGTGGTCAGACTCCCAGGGGGCCATGCAGGGGCAACTCTGTAGGCTCTGAGTCCCAAGCTTAGCTGAGCCTTGCTAGGTGATATAATCTTCCCAGGTGCCATGTGGTGAGTTTCTGTTGCTAGATGGGTCCTATTATGTCCTGGAGGCCATGTCTTTTGTGTTGTGGATGAGCTGGCTCAGGCCTTAATGGCCCATTGACAAAGATGTGTGTGGGGGGGCTGAGTTTCTGCCTCCCTTTTAGGGGAAATATTCTGCCCTTTTAATATTTCCTAAAATGTTTCATTTTTCTATGAGAGGGATCGGTGCTAACTTCCTACAATGGAAAAAATATTTTATTTATTGCTTGCATTCTGTAAAAAATAATGCAAACAGGAACCAACTAATTAGTAATCTGATTTGTTATGTAGTTAGCACTTAATAAGTTTTCTACTACTGCTCATTGAAGAGAGAAGAATTTCATTCAATTGTGAACTTATTTCACCATATTGGTCTTTTGTAAATTAAAAAAGAAAGTCACAATTGCTGTAATTGCAATCAATACCTGGAGTTGCTTTAGTAACCCCAATTTTGCTTTGTTATGGTCTCACAACAACTTTATTCCAGCTTTTCCAGGAGCCAGAATTTGAAATTGGTTTTCTTGTGCCCAAAGCTAAGATTTGACCTACTGTGTCCTAAGAAGCTCATGAACCAGTGCCAGACCATCCTGTTGTTTTACTGGATAAAATCGATAGCTAAATAACAGGGTCAGGGAATGCACGGTCCATAAATATGCAATTGTATGGTTGCTTAAACTTGCTTCTGAAGCCACTGGTGATGAACATTGGCTGAGAGGCTATTGGACTATATAACATCTGGGTCTGATGTGGTACAACAGCTCCTTATTTTTCCTATCCAAGTGTCTGTGGTTGCTTCGCTGGTTAGTTTTGTTGGCTCAGTTCCATAGAGCTCCTGAAAGCTTGTTGTGCAAGCTGTAAGAGCTGTTTCTGTCATGCTAATGAGACTTCTCAGCAAACTGGTGGAAAATATATCATTCCCCCCTCCCCCCTTCTATTGACCAGCTAGATAATCCTGTGGGGGAAAAAATCTAAGCAAGTGTTAAAAGTTTTTTGGGCGCTAATAATCAGCCAAGTATTCTTGCAACTAATGTTTTGATGTTTCTTATTTTGATTTTTTTTAAATCATGGAGAAATGCAGTGTCTGATGCTCCCCATTTCCCCCATTGTGGTCTATCTTCTTAGGTCCTCTCTAAGCCCATCTTCTTTAGGCAGAACTCAGAACGCAGAAGTTTCAAATTGTTAGACATACGGAAACCCAATCGGGATGGGACTTATTCTCCTTCCAAAATCAGCCCTCCTTCCACTCCTAGCAGTCCTGACGATACTTTCTTCTCCTTGGGTGATTCTCAAAATGGCAAGAAAAGAAGGAAAATTTCCAAGGTATTTTGTTTTCTTTAAAGATTTTATTTGCTGACTTAGAGAGGACTGTGAAAGATTAGAAGCAGTGTTCAGAAATTGTTATTTTAAGTCTTCTCTAGGGAATTAAGTATTAATTTCACGTTTGTGATCCTGAAAATTCTCTGAATCTTGAGAGTCTTTTAAAATTAAGCTTATACATTACCCTCCACAATTGAGCAATGTAAATAGTAAATGATTAAAATTAATAAAACAGTAACATTAATCATCATCTGAAGGTTATAGGGCAGTGATGAGTAACCTTTTCCAGACCGAGTGCCCAAAGCGCACACCCAGCCCCCCAAAATGCAATGCGTGCTGCCCCCCCGTGCATGCTCCCCACTTATGCATGCACAGGCCCCTGCAGCGCCCCACCTTGCGCATGCGGGCATCCCCACACGTACTCCACCCCACTATGCATGTCCAACAGAAGTCTGTCACAGTCCTTCGGGATAAGGCTGATAAGCACCCACCTTTATCTCCCTTGACACGCTGCCAAAGACCTAATTGGCAATTAGCTTTGCAAGGTCACATGGAGCACAGAGTCAAAACGGAGCTTCAGAATTTAAACCGACCAGAACGAACAAAGTTGCTTCCTGCAAAAGCTCATTTCCCTTTGCTCCACCTTTATGTCTTATGGGTGGGGACAATCATCTCCAAGCCTTACTCCCGAGTCACCCCTTTTGTCTTAACTGTTCTTGCCTTCTGGCAGCTCTCCGCATGCACGCACTGGGAACAAGCTCCCCCTGTTCTTCTGCCTCGCTGATGTCAGACTCTGGAGGCTCCGGAGTCAGCACATAACTCCCAGATAGCCCTGGCCCATCTCTGCCTCCGACGCAGAGCCCTCGTGGGAGCCTTTCCCAGACTCCAGGACTGGCCCATGTTCCTCCCCAGCCTCCTTACTGTTCGACTCTGCTGCCAGCTCCATAGGCTGCCGACAGACCACAACAAGCATTTACTTTTTCTTCTTTACGTTAAGCAGCTGGTGTTAAAAATCAATGCTATTTATGAGGCTCGAAGAGGGAAGAAGCGAGTCAAAAGACTGTCACAATCTACGGAGTCTAGCTCAGGGAGAGGTAAGGAAAGACTGTTGCTGGACCACTGGTTTTGCGGGCAGCTTGACCTGGACCTGGCTTTTGTGCCTTCTCAGTATTGTCCGATATTAAAGGGATCACTTTAATAACAGCCAGTTATAAAGGACATGATGCCTCTTTTCTATATTGAGCCATGGTGGTGCAGTGGTTAGAATGCAGTACTGCAGGCTACTTCTGCTGATTGCTGACTGCCAGGAGTTTGGCAGATTGAATCTCACCAGGATCAAGGTTGACTCAGTCTTCCATCCATCCAAGGTCGGTAAAATGAAGACCCAGATTTTGGGGGGCAATATGTTGACTCTCTAAACCGCTTAGAAAGGGCTGTAAACAGTGATGGGATTCAAATAATTTAACAACCAGTTCTCTGCCCTAATGATTTCTTCCAACAGCCAGTTTGCCAAACTGCTCAGAAAGTTAACAACCGGTTTTCCCGAAGTGGTGCGAACTGGCTGAATCCCATCACTGGCTATAAAGCACTATGAAGCGGTATATAAGTCTAAGTGCTATTGCTATTTAGAACTACTTGCCCTATATCCTAGTACTGTTACAGGGTACATTTGAGTTGGCAGACTTCAGACTTAACTGTTCTACTTGGACTTTTACAGTAGGAGCCATCATTCGTTAACCAAAGCAAGGTTCAAAAAGCATTGCTTTTTGGCTGCTCCCTGAGCATCTTTCAATTAGGAACTGAGCTCATTGTCCTTTTGTACAAAATTCCTCCCTCCATTTTCCAATCTTTCTTCATTTTCACAACCTAATTTTAGTGATGTTTGGGGTTGCTCCCAGTAAGCAAAAATCTGAATGGTTTACTGCGGTTTTCTAGAAATTTTTTTGTAATTCCTGACTTATCTTCTGGCTACCCCAACTAAGACAGCCTATATTTTGGGGGTATAAGAGATCTTATGAGAACTGATTCCGTGATCCATTCTAGGTTTTGCTTGCTATTCAGAAAACAAGTATTTTTTTAGAAAAGCGATGTTTACTGTTCTTTTCTGTTTCCTCCTAGTTACAGATGAAAATAGTGAATCAGACAGTGACACAGAAGAAAAACAAAGAGGTATCAATTGGGAGATAAACTTTAAAGAAGGTTAATGATTCTTGGATTGAAAGTTGTGGATTTTCCCCTTCTAGTTTTTTTTTCCCTGCCCAAAATAACAGGATACGTTTTATGCCTGTAGTGGCCTTCAATTATTGCAAAAGTGAATTATTGATTATTTGTTTGTTATGATGGCTACATGAACATTCATATCCCTAAAAAAAGTTCATTATCCAACATACAGCCCAATCTTTAAAATGTGTACTTAGAAGTCAATATTTAATGAGTTTTATATCCTAATGCAGCTTTTCCAGACCTGGAGCCTTTCAGATGGTGTCAGACCACAAATCTTACAATTCCCAGTCAGTTTAGCCAGTGCCCATGGTAGCTGGGAATTCTGGGATTTGTAGTCCAAACATAAGTTCCAGCTTGGGGAAAATGCTCCAATAAATGTGTTTAGGACTATAGATGTTATAGGTAAAAATAAAGTTCTGTGTTAAAAATGTTTCAGTTGTGTGGATGAACTGCAATTGCAATCAGTTGGTGAAGTTCAATATCCTTATATTTAATAATTGATATATGCTACCACTCTAGAACATATCACTTATTTTCTACTAAAGGTTGTTCAAGTCTGACCATTTCAAGAGTGATCCAGCATATTTCCAACTTTTGGGCTATGTGCTCTCTCCTTTCATTTTGTGCAAAAAAAAAATTATCATATCCACCAACTAACAACATTACATTTTTTTCTTGATTCTCTCTGTATAATGTTTCAGAATGTTTTGATATCCTGGTTACAACACAACATAATTCCAGGATATTTAGGTTGACCTTTCTGAACTCTGGTGCCCTTCAGTTGGGTGGATTTCAGCACTTACGATTATCACCCTACAAGGTCCTTCCTTGGGAATGCTTCATATTGACGTTCACACATCTGGAGGATGACCAGGTTAAGAAAGGCTGGCTGACTTCATGGTGAATATGTAGTTTGAAGTAAGACAGAACTTCTAATTGCTGTGGAAACCACACCCAAAACAGTTGTGTTGATTTTGTTGGCTTACCTTTTGTGTAGCTCACAGTCAACGCCTTGTTCATGTAAAGTCTCGCCTGAAGCAAGCCCCCAAGTATCACACCTTGGAGAGAGATCTGATCGAGTATCAAGAGAGGCAGCTCTTTGAATATTTTGTTGTAGTGTCATTACACAAGAAACAAGCTTGCGCGCCATACGTCCCTGAAGTTACCCAGCAGTTTCCATTAAAGGTAGGACATATGATGGAGATAGCCTGTTCAGAGAGAAGCAAAGGAAAGATTGCTCTGCTCTGTTGGCTTAAGATTCTAGAAGTTGAGACTCCGCACATCTTGGGGGATCCCCGGAGGTGGGCAGCCAAGGGTCCACAACATTTTTTGGGAGAGTGATAGTCACAAAAGACAGGGCAGTGAAGCAAGTGAATGGGCTAGAACAGTGATGGCGAAAGTTTTCGGCACTGAGTGCCCAAACCGGAACGCCGGAAACCCAAAAGCCAGTTGGCCGTTGTACATGCATATGCCAGCCACTTGGTCTTCACGCGTGCCAAAGCGCCGGAAACCCAAAGATCAGCTGGCCGGTGCGCATGCATGTGCCACTTGGATTTTGCGCACGCTGGAGCACCAGAAACCCAAAAACCACTGGCCTGCGTGCACATGCGCACCGGCCAGCTGGCCTTTGGGTTTCCGGTGTTCCTGCGCACACGAAGAATAGCTGGCATGTGCACTGGAAACCAGAAGACCAGCTGGTGATGGCGCTCATGCCGACAGGGCTCTGCGTGCCACCTCTGGCATGCATGCCATAGGTTCGCCATCACGGGGCTAGAACTTTCCAATGTATCCCTATCAGTGGTGGGTTTCTCCCGGTTCGGTCTGGTTCGGCAGAGCCGGTAGCGGTGACGATATGACGTCAACGAACAGGTTCTCCCCTCCCCCCCCACCAACGTTATTCTTACCTTTTATTTGGTCCCACCCCCAATCTGTTGCTGCCTCCTGAGTCCCAGCTGATGACTAGAGGGAAAAAAACTGTTTAAACTCTTGCCGCGGGGCTTCAAAGGGCCGTCCTACAGCTGATCAGTGTTAAAAGCAAACAAATGAGTCGGGTCGTAAGTGCGAGGACTGGTCGTAAGTGCGAGGACCTTCCAGAAACGACTCTGACCAGATAGCCACGCCCACCTAGTCACATGACCTCCAAGCCACACCCACAAAATAAGCCACGCCCACAGAACCGGTAGTAAAAAAAATTAGAACCCACCCCTGATCCCTATGTTTTAAGGTGAAGCTTGTTGCTGTCTACTTTCTTAAAACAATGCTGAGTCTATTTCTGGATTTCAATTACAGGTTTTGTGTCCCTTTCCTGAGGCGGATGCAAATCTGTGCTGCTGATTTAAGCAGTTGTGCTCATAACTAAACACTGGGGACTGTATGCAGCCTATGATTTTACATGGCTCGCTCCCTACCAGACCTGTTGTCTGTTGATAACTCTTAACAGAATGAAAATTCTAAAAATAAGGACATCAGCATTGGTGAGGCAAGTAGCTAAAAGATAGAGGAAATCTGCAATATAAAGGAATTCTCAAGATGTGGCTGTAAATGGGAAGGAGGAGGGAGGGAGACTGGTTGGCCGAGTGACACACACACACACACACACACACACACACACACACACACACACACACATTTGTTAGACAAAGATCAGGTGAGCTAGGCAAACAACTATGTTAATACCCTCCAGACCAGAGGTCTTCAAACTTGGCAGCTTTAAGACTTGTGGACTTCAACTCCCAGAATTCTCCAGCCAGCAAGTCTTAAAGCTGCTAAGTTTGAGGACCTCTGCTCCAGACGGATGTATATTCTCTGTCATCACTTCTCTATTTATTTAGGAAGCCAGGTAGATGGAAAGGGGAGAAAAAAAAGTCATGCAATTTTACTTTACCTAAACAATTAAAAACATCTCCTCCTCCTCCTTTTCTTCTGCTAGCTTGAACGCTCCTTCAAATTCATGAGGGAGGCCGAGGACCAGCTGAAGGCCATTCCGCAGTTTTGCTTCCCTGATGCAAAAGACTGGACTCCTGTTTCTCAGTTTAGCAGGCACGTTAAAGGATGGTCCCTTTCTTCCCTTCTTGCCAGCTCCTACAACCTGCCATTACGGATAACGCTAGCTTTATTTGTACCAGATTGTTTTTTTTTTTATGATAACAGTTGAAACAGGGGTGGGCTTTAAAAAATTTAGCAAGAGGTTCTCTGCTCGGTTGCTGGGTGGGCGTGGCCATGGTGGGTGTGGCCTAGTCGGCCTCCTGCACCATGGCAGGGGGGGCGTTTTTGCCCTCCCCAGGTTCTGGAGGCTTTCCTTGAGCCTCCAGGAGGGCAAAAACAGCCTCCCCAAGCTCCGGAGGCCCTCTGGAGGCCGGCCTTCCCGAAATTCCAGTAGGCCTGTTTTTCACCCTCCCCGAGCCTCTGTGCACACCCTGCACTTACCTGCATCCAAAATGGGCCACGTGGGAACTCCTGGGAGGGGAGGGGTGGGGTGGGCATGGCCAGCTAGGAGTGGGATTTGGAGGTTCTCCAAGCTGCACAGAATCTTAGCTAGAGGTTCTCCCGAACCCCAAGCAGCCCATCCCTGAGTCAAAATCAATTTTGACTTCAGCGTGAATAACTGAAGAACAAACACAAAAATTGTGGTTGGAAATATTTAGGGAATCAATGCATTTATTCAGCCATCCAATCCATTCTTGTTTTGTCTTTGACTGAAGCAAGGTGTGTAACATGAAAGCTACAGAATTAGTCACAAAATTAGCGTAATTTTAAAGTAGTCCTTATGTATAATCTGTACAAAGAACTACAATGTTAAATAGGTATAACTGCACACGTTTATCTAAACATTGCCAAGAAAATTGCATGGACTTGTCCAGGTAGTTGCCAGTGGTCAAGATTGATTTGAAAGCACACATGACCACCAACAAAAGAATAGTGGTGCAACGGTTAAAAGAAATGGGTGAGAAATCAGGAAACCATGAGTTCTAATCCTACCTTAGGCCTAGAAGCCAGCTGGGTGTCTTTGGGACAGTCACTATGTCTCAGCCCTAAAAAGAAGGCAAGGGTAGACAAATATATCATAAAGTTCATGTAAAATATAAGTATCCAAAATACTTTAAAGGTATGACTTTTAAAAACTATACATCTGGCCATCTCCACCCCAAATCTGGATTCATTAAGTGGCAATTCAGAGTTAACAGCAGCACTGCAGAAATGGTACTTACACCCAGTCTCCAAAGTAATGGCTGTTGTAGCAGTCCTGTGGCCGTGTGATCAAATTTGAGTGCTTGGTACAGATAAAGACAACTTAATCTGGTCTCATTCATGGCCTGGAAATGAGATGAAAGCAAAAACAGCCAGCTAGAGATGCCCCCAAACAGTGAGATAGGTGGTATAAAAATGTAATATAGGGGAATGATAGAAAAATGATATTGTCAAGGTAATTTTATGCTGCGACTAAGTACTAGTAGGGAAAGGCAATTAGTAGGGATGCACAATGGAATTAGTATTCCTCTAATAAAAAACCATTTTGAATTATTGGGGGAAAAGGCAGAATATAATCATAATAGAGAAATAAATAATAAAAATGAAAGAATCCCTAAAACAAAAATAACTATTTTGATCCAAAAGATATACAAATAGAGAGCCATGTAATTACCTTGATCCTATTTAGAAGAATGGAATGCAATGCAATGGAATAGAATAGAATAGAGCTGGAAGGTACCTTGGTGGAGGTCTTCTAGTCCAGCCCCTTGCTCAAGCAGGAGAACCTATACCATTTCAGACAAGTGGCTGTCCAGTCTCTTCTTAAAAACCTCCAGTGATGAAGCACCCACGATTTCTGAAGGCCAGCTGTTCCACTGGTTAATTGTTCTCACTGTTAGGAAGTTCCTCCTTAATTCCAGATTGCTTCTCTCTTTGATTAGTTTCCAACCATTGTTTCTTGTCCTGCCCTCTGGTGCTTTGGGGAATAATTTGATCCCCTCTTCTTTCTAGCATGAATGAATGACGATTATTTTCCTTTGTCTTTTCCTTTGCCATATGAGATCTTAATTAGGATGATGGCATATATATCATGCATGTTTGTTGTGAAGTGTAAGGGCAGCACAGAAATTTATATTGTTCTATTTAGGCTCGTAAAAAGAAAAAGATTTATGTATACTTAAAAAAGATACATAAGTTATTTTTAATATCTATATGCATATTTTCTAGAACTGAAGATAACCTTGTCATTGAAAAAAGTTTCTTTAAAACTTTTTCTTTTTCAGTGAGACATTTTCATTTGTCTTGACTAGTGAAGATGGCAGCCGAAGGTTTGGGTACTGCAGAAGAATACTGGTAACTATCTAGTTTCGTCTTCAGAAATTGAGTTGGATGGTCTCACAGGCCTCCTTTGCAGCGAGGGTAGGAAAGGTTTTGACCCACGCTTTGTGGCTGTTCTTGCTGAATCATATTTTTCTCTTTGTAGCCAAATCCAAGAATTTCTTCTTTGTCTCGTCGCTGTTATGGAATATCTGAAATCATGTAGCTAGAAAATTAATGGTATTTTTGTTTCTGTTTTAATGGAATGCAGTGCTTTATTCTGTAACTCAGTCAATCTTCTGCAATTTGCTGCTTTTTAGAGAAATTAGCCTTGGATTAGGATTATGGGAAACAATCTAGCACAGAGGTCTTCAAACTTGGCAGCATAGCTAGCTGGAGAATTCTGGGAGTTGAAGTCCACAAGTCTTAAAGCTGCCAAGTTTGAAGACCTCTGATAAAAGGATGGTAACTGTAAGTCAGAAAAAAAGTGCCTCGGAAGTGTATAGATAGTCCTTGACTTGCAAGCATTCGTTTAGTGATGGTTTGAAGTTACAACATCACTCAAAAAAGTGACTTATGATGGTTTTTCATACTTAATGACTGTTGCAGCATATCTGTGGTCATGTGATCAAAATTTGGTTGCTTGGCAATTGGCTTGTATTTATGACGGTTGCACTATCCTTGTGGGGGGGGGAATCATATGATCACACTTTTGTAACATTTCCAGCTGGCTTCTAATAATCAAAGTCAGTGGGGGAAGCCAGGTTCACTTAACCACCATGATTTAAAAAGTCATAAAATGAGGCGTAACTAGAGGTGGTATTCAGCCAGTTCGGATCTGTTCGCCCGAACTGGTAGCGGAGATCGCGGGTGGGCCTGCCTACCTGCCCCGCGCTATGCTGTCCTATTTAGCCACATTTTCAAGGCTGGGTGCATGGACAGAAGGTGCGTGCGCGGGGCGAACCATTGGTAACAATATCTGAAACCGACTGCTGGGCGTAACTCACTTAACAACTGCACTTAGTAATGGGAATTTTGGCCTCAGTTGTGGTCTTAAGTTGAGGACTAACTGTAGTAATAGGTTAAGTTAGAAGAACTGCTTTGTGCGTGGAATAGAAGATTACTGTGATTTTTGGTTTCTTCTTGTTCATCACTGTCTGTTTATGTATATCTGTGTTGTGTCTGTCTCTCTTGAAAGCCCAGTGGGAAAGGGAAACGTCTTCCAGAAGTTTACTGCATTGTGAGCCGCTTGGGGTGTTTCAACCTCTTCTCAAAGGTAAGGGAGAAAGACCATGCAAACAGTCTCCAAAGCGAGTAGGGACGGAGGAGGAGAGAAAAACCTTCTCTGGCCAGTTCCGGTCCATACTGACCCTTGGAAGTGCAACTCAAACCAAGGATGAACACCAATAATTCAGTACAGTCGTTTCCTGTTGTCAGATAAGAATCTCACCCAAGTGCTTTTTAAAAAGGCCAGTTGTTTCTGCTTTGGAGCATGTTAAATGCATTTTTCTTCTTTTGCCAGAGAAAGTAGATATTACAAGAGATATGCGATTAACATTTCCTTCTGTTTGTTTGTTTTTTAAAGAAAGAAGAAAAAAGAAAATAGTCACCTAGAGCAGGGCTGTCCAACCTTGGCAACTTTATTTTATTCTATAACTTTATTCTAGCTGGCTGGGGAATTCTGGGAGTTGAAGTCCTCCAGGCTTAAAGTTGCTGGCTGGGGAATTCTGGGAGTTGAAGTCCTCCAGGCTTAAAGTTGTCAAGGTTGGACAGCCCTGACCTAGAGAAGACAGGCAATTTGGATCAGAAAAGTATCCTCTCGGAGACGGAGACCATCATCTCCTCATTTTTTATTTGTACAATTTCCAATTTTTAAAATGGCTCCCAGACCTGCTAGGTACTTCCCACAGATAGTTAAATAAGTTTCAAAAGCAGTTTGGGAAGGGGGCATTTTTTTTTTTAAATTTGATTTATATGCCGCCCTTCTCCGGAGACTCAGGGCGGCTTACAATGCGTTAAGCAATAGCCTTCATACTTTTGTATATTTATACAAAGTCAGCTTATTGCCCCCACAACTGGGTCCTCAATTTACCTACCTTAGAAAGGATGGAAGGCTGAGTCAACCTTGAGCCTTGGAGAGATTCGAACCAGCAGTAATTGCAGGCAGCTGTGTTAATGACAGGGTGCTCTAGACCACTGTGCTATCAAGGGTCCTTATATTGTCCAAGAATACATTTTCTGGACAGAAACGCATGGCACTGTCTTTCCCATATCTACCCGCCAGCTATTCACTTAACTTGGAAGAAGAAGCAGTAACCCAACAACAGCACTAGGCACCTAAATGAAAGAGAAGGCTCTTCCCATCGGTAACTGTTTCATTCAAGTGGGATTCTGATGCTTGATTGTTTTGCGTGGCATCAAACAATGATATGACAACAACGAAAAGCTAGCAAGAGGAGAAAAATGAACAGATTCCTGAAGCAAAATACACAATGTCCTCCTTTCTCTTTCTTTTTTCTCTGTTGTTCAGATCTTGGATGAGGTTGAGAAAAGACGTGGCATTTCTCCTGCCTTGGTCCAGCCACTCATGAGGAGTGTCATGGAAGCCCCTTTTCCAGCCCTGGGTCGGACTATCTCCATCAAGAACTTCCTGCCTGGTTCTGGAACAGAAGTAATGCTGGCTGGGGAATTCTGGGAGTTGAAGTCCACTGAGGGCAAAAGCCACTGATCTAGATAGAACCACCCTTCAAAAGTAGATGAAGTAGCTAAACTTGCATGCGTGCAAGTTCTCATGTATATGTGTCAGTGGTGGGATTCAGCCAGTTCAGGCCGGTTCAAGCGAACTGGTAGTTAAATTGTTGGCTGGCCCCGCCCCTTCCCACCCTGCCCCTTCCAGGAGTCCCCACACACTCCATTTTGGCTCCCAGGTAAGTGCAGGGAGGCCTCCTAGGCCTAAAATGGAGTGTGGGGAGCGGTGCACCCCCGGCCCATTTTTGCTCCCAAGGGGTGCAGGAGGCCAAGTGCTGCCTGTCAAACCCCTGGCCACGCCCACCATGGCCACGCCCACCATGGCCACGCCCACCCATCCATTCATTAAGGCAGAGAACCATTGTTAAATTATTTGAATCCCACCACGTTTCCTTTTGAGTCCTTCAATTAACTGCTTTCTGCAGATTTTTTTTTTCCAAAAAAAAAGAAAAGATGCTTGGTGCGTAGCAAAGTGCCAATCTCAATCTTGCAAGACACATTTAAAAATTAAAAATAGTAATTGCAGTCAAGTGTTTTTCTTTCAAGTCTGATTGTACTTGAAGGAGGTGGGGGGGGAAAGGCAAGGTCAATGGGCAGGAGACATTCGTTGGAGGATATGGAGATCATAATTAGGAATCGGCATATTGTTTGTTCCTGGTAGAAGATTCCAATGTGGAAATACATAGAATGGGGGAGAGGCTTCTGAATAAGGCAAATTTATGAAACAAATTTCCACTGGTCTGAAAAGGCTGCAGTTGGTATTCTCAGAGTCTTACTCCCCTTATTTACACATTTAATAATAGGGCTTATAGGTTGCTCAGGTCAGAACTGACTTGGAGTTGATTTTACATCTTGTATGTCTCCTGCATTCTTTGTTTCAGGTTATAGAGCTGTGTCGACCACTTGATTCAAGACTTGAACATGTTGATTTTGAGTCCTTGTTCTCCTCGCTTAGCATTCGGCACTTAAGCAGAGTCTTTGCTTCCTTGCTGTTGGAGAGACGGGTGATATTTATAGCAGACAAGCTCAGGTAACCGTCTGCCTCCTATTTCTCTGCCTTACCTGGCGGACAAACTATTATCTAGTCTATCTGTCCTTAAAGTCAGTTTTCAATGGTCAGCTACGTCCTAGAGTGGTGGTTGTGTCTCTTTTCCTAGGTTCAAAAAGGCAGAAATGTATCTTCTGCTCAATTAGAGTTCTGGAGCTGAGACATCTGTGATGTATATTTCTCCTTTCTTGGCTCCCACTTGAAATTGGCTTCAAACGTTAATGCTTTCCATGTAAAAAATTGCAGTTATCCCTAAATAATAGGAGTGTCTGGCTCATCTTGGTTGATCTCCAGCTATGGATATCGCTTTGGGACAGTGGGGAGTGGCTGCTACAGTCAGTCTAGATTCCTGGGGACAAATTTGTGCAAGATATAATGATAGCTGGGGCTTTGTGGACGAACTCCAGAGCTGAATAACCCAGAAAAGACCCATATGAATAGCAGAATATATCAGAGTAAGGGTCTCCAACATTGACAACTTTAAACCTGGCGGACTTCAACTCCCAGAATTCCCCAGCCAGCTTTGCAAAGCTGGCTGGGGAATTCTGGGAGTTGAAGTCCGCCAGGCTTAAAGTTGCCAAGGTTGGAGACCCCTATATCAGAAGATGGAGACAGCAGGAACAGCTGGGCCTCCATATTCTTTCTGTTTCATGGTTAGAAACATCTAGCTAGGAGCTAGATAGATGATCATATATATTGTTATAGATGCTTGTTCCTTTGCCTGGATAAATAAACAGAAAAGCATGGCTTTGTAAAGTCAGATACACTGCATCTACTGCACCATAAAACCATGGTCCATAGTTTAATTTTATCTGTCTATACCAGGGGTCAGCAATCTGCAGCTTTGGAGCCGCATGTGGCTCTTTCACCCCTCTGCTGCGGCTCCCTGTCAGTCAAAATATGCATCACAACTGCCAATGTGTGTTACCCGCCGGCACACAATTTATTGAGCTTTTCAACCCCAGTAGGCCAACCATGGAGAACTCCAAGAAAATAAAAGTTTCAGAAGAAAACAGAACGTTTAATTCAACTACATATGCTAGTTTTGTGGCCGCTCAAGAAATAGTCAGGCATGGGAAGGGTTTTGTGGCTCCCGGTGTTTTCTTTTCTGTGGGAAACGGGTCCAAATGGCTCTTTGAGTATTTAAGGTTGCAGACCCCTGGTCTATACTACTGGGTTCATTTGGAGGAAAATGTTGCTGTTGGGAACTCACGGCGAATGCATGTCCAATATGTGTTAAAGTGTATGGTTTCATATTACTTATAATAAAAGGACTTAAGATGAACACGAGTGTTTCTACATTAGTTGTTTACACTGGAACGGATATCATTTTGAACTTCTAAAAGATCCAGATCACGGGATGTCAAAGTCAAAGATCGTGCCACGGGCCGGATCGTGATGTATCGTGATGTTTTTTGCCTTTGCGGAGCCGGGGTGGGCGTGGCTTGTGGGTGACGTATCCGACTTGTGGGCTGCCAGTTTGACAGACCTGATCCAAGATGATGCAGCTGCTGAACAGCTGAATGGAAGTGTTTGCAGGATTGCCCTTCCACCTTTTTCACTCTAAGGATTTGTGTGACTTAAGTATTTCTAACTTAAAAAGTACTTGAGTGTATGTTTTACGTGTTCTGCACTATTTCAAAATGGGTTCTCATCATTTTGAAGCAGAAAACACATATAAATAGTACTGGAACCTGTTGATAAGCAGAAAGTAGCTTTCACTTTAAAACCAAAACAAAATCCTGACCATTGTCAAAACCTAATTATTGTTGTTTCCAGCCATTCAAAGGTAACCAGTTCCTTGATTCTTTCCCAGTCAGTTGTACATAATCTGCATACAGAGCACCTAAGTATTCTCTCTCTACCTTTACTAGGTCTTCCTTAGTAGGCTTATATACACTGTCGTGGCTAAAATATGCTCACAATGTGCTTTGAATGAAAATATGCAAAGGTTTAGGTGGTTTTGGGGCCCTTAATAAGCTTAAATGGCACAGTTAAAAGGGTTAGGAAGGCTAACAGTGTTTTGCCAACCAAAATCTATTGGCTTTGAAGCCTCAGGATACTTATATATCTGCATATATGCAGCTTACAGCATACTCCTTAATGCCAGACCATGTGCTTTGTCCTTATGCCTATAAGGTTTCAGGTTTTTCTGTGGGTATCAGAAGTTGAGCAGGCAGTTTGCAAACTTTCTGATCCCACTGCATAGATAGCCTTTGTTTTTCCGCTCACCAATTATTTGGACAAAAACTTCTTCCTCCCACACCTTGGGAAAAAGGGGGCCCAGATCTCTTTAAGATTTTCTGCAGCTGGTGCCTGGCCTTCATCCATTTTTAAAAAGGGATGGGGAGAGCAAGTTTTTTCCTCCCAACCAGAAAAGGCAAATTTAACAGATGAGTAATGATGCTTATTCAAGTTTCAGCAGCCTGCCTGTTTTCACAATTCCCAGTAAATCCCGCTGCATCCACGGGACTAGGAGAAGGAATGGTGAGGCTGCCAAAAAAAGAAAGAGGAAAAAATCATTCATTCATTGTGTTGCTGTTTTTTTTAAAATGGACAAGAGCAGCCCAAATTGATACAGTAGACCTGCTGCATAAAATGTGAACTGAAGTCTTAAAATTCTTTATAAGTCAGTTATGCAGTCTGCTGCCTTCTAGATATTTTGGACTTCAACTCTTATCATAGCTAGTGGAAAAATATAGGTAATCCTCAATTTACAACAGTTCATTTAATGACTGTTCGAAGTTATAACTGGACTGGAAAAAGTGACTTATGACCATTTTTCAGTTTTGACCATTTTTCAGTTTTGACCATTGCAACCTCCCCATGGTCACACAATCAAAATTCAGACACTATGCAACTAACTTTATGATGGTTGCAGTGTCCCAAGATCATGTGATCACCGTTTGCAAAGGTTGACAGAAGGGGAAGCCAGATTCACTTAACAACCATGTTACTAACATTTCAGTTAAAATAACCTTGCTCAGTTTCAGTTCTAGAATTTTTGGCAGACGACTAACAAGTCTTAAAAAAAGACAATCCTTGTTGAAGCTGATGAGATTTGAAGAATATAATCCCTAGATGGTCTAAATTGGGGAAAACTTCACTAGAAAATTGTCTTTAATGCCCTTAACGTAACAACTGCAGCAATTTACTTAATAACTGACGAGAAAGGTCATAAAATGGGGCAAATTCACTTAACAATGTCTTGCTTAGCAACAGACGTTTTAGTCATAAATTAAGGACTACCTGTATAGTCAAGGTTTGTGGGAGCTGAAGTTCCAAATACCTAGAAGGTATCAGGCTACCCTGCTTTTAAATCTCTTAAACAAGATTAGAAAACAGAGTAGAAGTGTTTGCAAAATTGTAAATAATGTGTTTAGAATCTGGGTTTTATATATACCATATTTTTTGGAGTATAAGACACACTTTTTTCCCTCCTAAAAGAGGCTGAAAATTTGGGTGCATTTTATATGCCGAATGTAACCCCATGCGCGGTGCCCAAAATGGCTACCCAGAACAACTTCTGCCTTCTCTTATTCCTTCGCACTTCGCCTGCTTTAGCCACTGGAGCTCCCTCCGACGATCAGCTGTGTTTTTGAAGCTGTTTTTCAGCCCCAACTCAGCGAAGCTGATCTTCCTGCTTTGCCTGCTTTTCTAATTGCTGCTCCCTCCGACAATCAGCTGTGCTTTAGAGTTTTTTTTTAGCCCCAACCAGCCCCAACCTCAAAACCAGCCAGCGAACTAATGTGCTGAAGCTGACCAGGCTAAGGACTAACCAGATGAATACCTGGTAGGCAGAATTGTTTTCCCCCTATTTTCCTCCCCCAAAATTAAACTGCTTCTTATACTCCGAAAAATACGGTACTTCAAAAGCAATTTGAAGGAAGTACTTCCTGCAAGTTTTGCACAGCTCTGCAATAGAGCACCCCCCTTTTTTTGCAAGCTTGTTTGTGAACTCAAGAAAAAGATAGAGCTGCTTTAAAAGCCATGTTGCAAGTAAAGTATACACAACTTTAGTTAGAGCAGTGGTTAGAGCAGTGGTCTGCAAGAAAATTTTGGTGGTCCGCAGAAAAATTATTTGCATTTTTTATATTGCACTGAATACTATTTATCTTTTTAAAAAATTCATATTAATGGTCCACGAGATTTAAAATTATGAATTTTGTGGTCCCTGAGGTCCGAAAAGTTGATGGCCCCTGAGTTAGAGTAATTGCGCAGATTTTCTTGAGTAATAGGTGTAACATTTGGCAGAATCACGGAAAGTAACAGCCATGGAATCATCATTTCTGTGATTCCAAGGAAACATGTACACTTGAGGCCTGAACTTGATTTTATTTATTTAATGGAGCATATTAAAGTTCAATCCCTAATTTATGTGGTTCTAAAATTTGAAAAGGTGCTCAAATTCTCTTACCTGGAAAGTTTCATTTTTAACATGTGAAAGATATAATATAAAAAAAATATGTTCTGTCTTGGAATCTAAATATTTCTATTGCAAGTTTTTCTTCTGACAAATTAAGGTTATGGCTTTGTTAAACTTACTAGATTGAGAGGTTTAAGCAAAAACTGTGAAAGGCCAATCAAAGGATGGGTTATATTCATAGAGCCATGGAGATTTGCATGTTCCAGCTGGAATTCAGAAGGAGATGTTTGCTCAGATACTGTATATACAAATCGCATCATTCCATTACACAGATCATGATTACTTGGACACGAACCAAGTGGTGATATCATAGTCACTACTTTAGTTTGTCAGAACCATGTTTTATTAAGTGGGTGGAGAAATCATTTTCTCTTGCAACCTGTCACTCTGCATTTTTCATCCTTTTTTCCTCTGACGGTATCCTATTTGGCAACTGTGCTCATCCTTAGGAGGTGTAGAATTACTCCGGAATCATCATAAAAAGAAACTCTACTTGTTTAAGGATCTTTTTTCTGCCTTTTGTGTTATTTTCATGCTTCTTTTATAAATGTGCAAT